AATAGCAACAATAATTCAATTTTAATAAATCTGGCAGATATAACAGACATGGAATTAGATACTCCATCTAGAAGGTATATATTAACTATCTTTTTGCATTTTATTTTTTATTTTTTTTTGAAATTTGGCTAGTATTTATTATATTGGATAATATTTTTATTTTAGTCACACAATATTTGTTCCAGGTTGGGCACTACAAGAAAATCTTAAAGCTAATCAAAAAGATCCAGTAAAACGACTAACTGAAAAAGTAAAGGGATTACTAGGGGTTATGTTTCATTTTGGAGCAACCAATACAAAACTAAAAATGGATGCAACTGAAATGCATATGGAGTTATTACGACGTGCACAACTTGGAGAAATTGAATACCAAGATGTGCCCAAGATGTCCACTATAGCTAATTGGATTAAAAGAACATCTTGGGCTGTAAAACAAAGTATAGCATTGCAATTTTTAGAAAAAACTGATGAATGATTATAAATTCTTGAAGAATATACATACTGTTAAATATAAATGGTTTATGGTAATATATGACACTTAGTTATAATACACTATTAATAGTGGTTCATAAATATTAATTCGATTTATTTTTTTTTTGTAGCAGAATACAAAGAATATATGGCATTTAGTATTATCTGGGTCTTTTAAAATTTGGACATTTTTGAAAAAACTAAATGTACAGAAGAGGCATAATCTAAATCTAATTGGGGTTAGAAAAAAATGAACATAAGTATTCATTAACTTGTTGAAAGACATCAATAGAATTGGAGCTGAAAAAAATGTGTATAATGCATTTATTAGTTTGATTAAGTAAGAATTTTAATAGGATAGGAGTCAAAAAAATAAGCATTTTGTAAAGATGAATTGATATATAGCATTTGTCGATTTGTCCGAATAAGTTTATTACTGAATCATTAAAATTTGCTAAAGTGGAAAATTGGAATTGAAAGAGTAATATAGGTATCTGAAACTCAAAAAAAAAAAAAAAATATTAATTAAGTTCTGAAATTTAGCTTCTGAATAATATATTAACCAACTATGCTAAATCTACAAAAAGTGGGTTGAACTTCTAGTCTATATTGATAGTACGTCTTCTTTCTATCAGTTAACCTATCCTTATATAGACATGAATGTTTGTATATAATGCACCAATCTGAGAATATTAATTAGCAATCAAGAATTAGTATTGCATATTAATAGTCTAGGTTTTCAAATTTTTGAAGTATTTCATAAATTTGCCTTATTAGGGGGTTTCAAAGTTAAATTCAGAGAACCTTATTTTTCCGATTTATAATTCAACATAGTAAAAATACTATTGAAAAAATCCTATTTATTTTTGAAATGCATCACTTATTTGTTAACTTTGAAACCCCTATTATATTTATTTACCACAAAACTTTGGTTCAGCGATTTATTATCAGTTAAAATTAGCTGGAATTTTTTAGTATAGTATTATTCGTGAATTTGGGTTGATCTTCGCGATTAGATTTTGTTTCTTCTAATATCCCTTTTGGCATTTTAGTTTTCGTGCAAAAATTGAAAATCGGGCATCGCATTTATTAATCGAAATTGGGGTCAAGGACAAATCAATGCTTTCATTAAGGTATTCAATTATCTCAACATGCAATAAATATTACATATATTAAATGTGAACTTTATTGACATAATATAGCGAATATTGATACAAATTATACGCCAATCGAATATATCAAAGATACCAGTATGAGATCAACTGATCTCTAAACGAAGTTCTAATAAATACTTCCTAAATGTAAAGCTTTTTTTGAAGTATATAAATCAGTATTATTTAGGTTTTTTCAATATTCGCATGATTGCTAGTAACTATAGCTTACCCGATTTTTTCCTTACATTCTCTGTATACAATTTCTCACTCAATGCAAGATTTCATTCTTTTAATAAAAAACTTAGATTGTACTTGAAAAAGAGTTGACTATATATAGAATTTTTAAAATTTAATCTAGAGTTTATAGTAAATGTGAGTAACCAACTATGAAAAGAAAAAAAAAATTACATGCGCAAAAGTCCTTCGACTAAATTGATGTAGTAACATTTCTAGAAAGGCACAAATATAGATAGTATGAAACATATTAGTTATGCCAATAAAGTTCGAATAAATAGCAAAGTTAAAATTTGTACGAGTTAAAAAGTAT